CCTTCCTTCCTTCCTTCCTTCCTTCCTTCCTTCCTTCCTTCCTTCCTTCCTTCGCTCTAGCAGATACCTTGGAGCCAGCTTTCATTTTGAGAATAAAAGCCACAGGCCAAAGGTGATTTAGTACGAACAGTAAAAGGCTTCTGCTCCCCTATAACTGTGCAGCTACCATGTCAACCCTGCAGTCCAATCATCACCTTTTTGTTTTTTTAAGAGGAAAAAAAAACCCACCTTCAAACCTTGATCCCACTTAAGGGATCAATGACATGTTGCTGAATTACCAACCACACTGAAGCCTGAGGCTCAACGCAATGCTCCTACCTTGGGTGCCTCATTCTCCCGGCTGGACTGGCCATTTCAAGGCAGTTGTATTCTCCTTGGGGCTCAGGAGGGTGTGTTTCCCGCACTGTCTCTCAAATCCTTCCAACCCCAGTCTGAGTTTGGCCACAGCATCTCATCAGTGGCTGTTTGTGGCCAGGAGGGGTGGAGACAAAGCCACAGGACAAGAAGGTCCACCTCTCCGGAGCCCAGGGGCCGACACGCTGACCCCTGACTCCTACCCTCCATATTTTGTGTTAGCCACAGTCTTGGATTTTTAGGGGAAATCTTAAAGGACACCCCTGTAGGCAAGTGCTCCACACTTTTCCATCCCTCCTGCAGCTGAAGGACAGCAAGATGGAAGGACAGCAAGGTGGAAGGACAGCAAGGTGGAAGGACAGCAAGGGTGGAAGGTCACCAAACACCCCTGAGCTTTTCTTTCCTTGGCTACCAAGTGGGAGAGTGACAGCCAGTGGCCTGGGCTGGCTGGGTCCTGTGCAGCCAGGCTGCCTCCACACCAGAGGCGCAGGGGTGGGGAGCGTCCTCCGACCAGTCAGCCTGTATGGATTGGGGTGAGGTGTTCTCCTCAGGCCCTGGAAGCCCGGCCACCCCTGGAGAGCATCCAGCTGCCCTCTGCACCTGACCTGAAAGTGAAAACAGGTGATGATGGGGAGTGGGACTCGGGAGAGTGGGCGTGGTGGCTTCCTAGGCCCCCTGAGGACGAGGCTCGATTAGCTGCAGCAGGAGAGTCTCGAAGCAGGAGTGGCAGGGTCTGAAAAGTCCATCACCTCCACCCAGTCAGCCACGTCCTCCTCCCAGGTACCTGACTGCCCTAATTCTCTGATTAACTATGGCCCCTGCAGCCACTCGGTCTCCTTAGAAACCACAGCTACAGGGTCCCAGCAGGAGAAGTGGCAGCTCCTCCTCCTCCTCCTCCTCCTCCTCTTCCTCCTCCTTCCTTCTCCTTCTCTTCCTCCTCCTTCTCCTCCTCCTCCTCCTTCTCCTTCTCTTTCTCTCCTCCTCCTCTTCCTCCTCCTCCTCCTCCTCTTCTTCTTCTTCTTCTTCTTCCCGCCCCCCCCAAGTTGTAAAGTTCATTTCCAACATAGTATTTTTTTTTTTTTTGTCGGTCGTGGGGCTTGACCTGTGGGCCTGGGCGTTGTCCCTCAGCTCTTCAGCTCAAGGCTAGCGCTCTACCACTTGAGCTACAGCGCCACTTCTGGTTTTATGGTGGTTTATTGGAGATAGGAGCCTCACGGTCTCTCCTGCCCGGGCTGGCTTTGAACCGCGATCCTCAGATCTCAGCCTCCTGAGTAGCTAGGATTACAGGCGTGAGCCACCAGCACCCGGCAAGTATTTGTTTTTAATTTGGGTTTGCTGCACCAAATTTGTTTAATTTGGGCCTCAGGCATGCTAGGCAAATGTGAAATGAGCAAATCAAGGTAATTAGCATATTTATACCATCTCAAACTTTGTGTTGGAGACATTTGAAATCCTCTCTTCTTGTTATTTAAAAATATGCAATAAATTATTAACAATGGTATAAAACATTAGGAATTAATATTCTTGTCAATTATTTTAAACTAATCCTTCCGTATCCTCTCTCCCCTTAGCTCTGGAAATTACTATTCAATTCTATGAATTCAACTTCCTTCCTTTCCTTCTTTCCCTCCTCCTCCTCCCTCTTCTCTCTCTCTCTCTCTCTTTCTTTTCCTTCATTTATTCCTTTTCCTTCCTTCCTTCCTCTCTCTCTCTCTCCTTCCCTCACCTCTCTCTTTCTTTCTTCCCTTTTTTCTATGGATCTAATTATGTTGGTCTCATAGTACTGGGCTCAAGCGATCCTCCTATCTTAGCCTCCTAAGTGCTGGGACTATAGGTATGCACCACTGTACCTGACTGAGTTTAACTTAAGCTCCCATACCTGTGAGTCATATTTGTTTTCTGTATGTGGGGAGTATTTCACTTAATATAACATTTTGACCTCTGCCACATTGCTGCAAGTGACTGGACTCCTGGGATCTTTGTGGCAGGATGGAACTTTGCAGTGTACAGCTCATACTTTATAAACACTCCATCCTTCTATTCAAAGATACTGAGCTAGAGTCTTTGGCCTTGTCTCCCGTGAACAATACTGGGATAGACATAGAAATACATTATCTCTTTGACATAATGGATTCTGATTTCTTTATCTACACTCCAGTAAGTAGTAGGATAGCTGGGTTGGATGGTAGTTCATATATATATATATATATATATATATACTTTTAAGGGGAATCATTAACTGTTTCCACAATGTCTGAGCCAATGGCCATAGCCACCAGCCATGGCTGAGGCCCCTTTCTCCCGCACCCTGGTTGCTATTGCTGCTCCCGGATTTCTGTTGATAGCCGTTTAGCTGGGATGAGAGGACATAAGCGCTGGGTTTTACATGAAGTGCAGGGCAATGTAGACAGGCTGCCATGATTGCCATTGCTAGTAGAGGATTCACTACCCATGTCCTGCTGAGTGCTGTGCTAAGTTGTCACGTAAGTAGAAAGGCCTCCTTACGGGGGCCCTGGCCAGGCTTATGAAAGGTGTCCTGCTCAGAGTCTGCCAGTGGCTCAGGTCATTAGAGAGTTTGAAAGTCCGTGATGGGTGTTAATTGTAGATCGGACTGGGAGGAAGAGACAAGTT